GTAGAACGTTTGCATATGCTTCATTAATTAGTTTGGCAAGGCCTCCACTACCAAAGGTGCACGTATTTTTACACAAGCTTCAGCAATCTGCCTTGGAGCTTTCAATATTCATGTTTCTGCACTATTTGTGCTCTGTATAATTTCATTATATCCATACATGTATATATATATTTTAACAGATCTTGGAATTTGTCATTCTGCTAGAATTTCTAAAAATATCCTTTCAGAAAAACTTCCATTGAACTTGACTGGAATAGGAAGAGGTGGTGCACATTTTTCCTTTTCTTGGAGCTCCTCAGTCCCACAGCAATGCTGTCCATGTAATCTTGGCATCATATTTCAAACTAAGCTCGTGATGAGCTGAATTTTCAGTAGAACTGACTCAATTTTCAGATGGAACAACTTCTCATTGGAATACAACAGCTTGTTCAAGCAGAATGTTTTGGGCTTTGACAATCTCCCAGCTCAACACAGAGGATGTCTTATAAAACTGCTCCTGGGGCTCCTAAATCAACATTCTTTGGCAAGGGGGTGATGGACTTCCTAAGTTTACTGTGACACCTGAGGAACTGCTTTCTCCCAGTTTGAACAGAAACAGGAATAAGAAACTGTTGTTTTTCTGAAGCCAGTGCTTCTGAATTTCCTTTCCATCTCAAATTCCATTCTTTACATCTCACCCCACACCCAAACATCCCAACAAAGGTCCTCTGGCAACACAGAAATGTTAGATACCACCTTCTCTGGCCTGGTTACTGACAGTAGTAAGGGGGCTACAAGGAGGAGATGGGAAGCACTGAGAAAAGTGATGCAGCAGCAGGCTCCAGAGCCTTCACACAGATTTACCTGGCTGCTGAAGCACTGGATGGCTTGAGAGCTTTTTCCATCTAGGTCCAGCCCAGCTTTCACTTTGCTTTTTATTGCAGGAAAAAGCTATCCAATGCCAGTCACTTGTGGCAATACTTAGTTCACAAGAATGCTCTAGAACATCCAAAAGTAATAGATGCAAAAACCCACATAAATTACTGTAATGCATTAAACTCCCAAAACAAAGGGCACATCTTCATACAGAACCTGTCCTGTTTCTCCACAGCTAATGACACAACATGCTGAAAAATCTTCCTACACCTTAGAAAAATATGAAGGAATGGGGAATAGAAAGGAAGGGAAATGTAAAACATAAGAGGGTTGGGGAACTGCCTCCCTTATTTTTTTTTTACATAATTATTTTCACCTTCTCACAAACAAAAGTGTACATTCGTGTACCTGTGTGGCCCTTCAGCCCCTAGAAATCATCGAAAATTCATTGTTTCTGAATTTAGGAGCAACTTGCTCAAGGGTTATGTGCTCCCTCTAAGAGCTCCACACCCATTCAGAGGCAGGGGCTGGACCACAAGCTAGAACATAACAGGGTCTACACCTCATAAAATGCCCTGCACCTCCTGAAAACCAGGCAGCCCTTGGCCTCAATCCTGCCTGCTGTGCACTGTGTGCAGCCATTAAATAGAGCCCCCAGCATTTTACTGAGCTTGCACAGTCACACTGGACAGGATAACAGGATCAATGTGGGAGATGAGGGTAAAGACCAAACACTCTGGAGATGTCCTGGCAAAGATGAGTAAACAACAGCCCTCCGCAGAGAAGGGGGATAGAAAACTTAAATCACACTGAAATTTACCAAACCTTAAAGCTGCTTACAATAATGGCCAGGGGTGAACGATTTATTTCAAACCAGGCCAAATTGAGGAAAAGAACCTTGATGCACGCACCAATTTTGTTTCTCAAAGTCAAGAATTGCCTAATCAATAGCAGTGCTAAAAGGAGATGGGCACTCTCAGGGGTACCATTACAAAGAATTGCACTGGGTTTTAGCCACCTGGCTCCCAATTGCTTTAATAGCCATCACATGGCTAAAACCCAGGCTGAAGCTTTAAAAGTTTACCCCTTGGTCTTCCTGAGCATCCACTGCTGTCGGGTGGCAAATGCAGAGCAGCAGGAGGGACTGCAGGGTTTACTCCTGCATTGACCAGGGCTAGAGCACGGCCAAGAATTTGCACTGCTGCTGCTGCTGCTGTTTCAAGTGTCACTTACTGGATGAGGAAAGGCAAAGCAGGAGAGGGCAAAAGGGGTGAGTGACAGTGAAAGGAAGTGTACTTAACCCTTCCAGTGTTGATGTGTTGATAGCAGCCTGCACCAGGTGCTCACATCACTGGCCTAATCCAATCAGACCCCTCTTCCATTAGCTAAAAATAAACTGGCACTTTTTAGGTAATGCTCCCCCACTCCAAACCATGCTCCAAATCTTAATGGAAAGCCTTCAAGGAGTTGAAGGTTTTAAATCAAATAAAGAAGCAGACACAAGGAGAAAAATCCAATCAGAACAGAAAGGTTTGGATTAGCCAGGAACTGTTTTTCTCCAATTGTCACCAGCACTGAACTTCACAGGAGCAGTAGCTGGAAAGACAGAAGGAGGCAGACAAAAGAGAAGAGGAAGCAGGGGTTTCTGTCATGCTCCTATTAGACATAATTTTACAGAAGGAAAGGTGGTGTCATGTCAACATCATCAGGGCTTGGCTTGGTTCCTGGGCCTGCTCATGGTCACCTATGGGATGGTGAGCACCCCAAATCCTTCCTCAGACTGCTCCAGAGCCTTCCGGGGAAGAGGAGGGAAATTGGCATAGGCAGCAGCCCCCTCTCAAGAGGTCACCTTATGGTGGGGCTCTCATAAAACATAGAAATAACCAGCAAGATCCACCACCTTTTGAAAGTAAGTGGGGTAATACTCAGTGAATCACAACTTGAGGTGGCAGGGACCTTAAAGGTCACTGGACCAGGTTACTCAGAGTCCTGTGCAACCTTGGTCACCTCCAGGGATGGGACATCCACAACTTCTCTGGGCAAATTGTTCCAGTGCTACACTGCTTCCACAGTAAAGAATTTCTTCCTAATATCTCACGTAGACCCACTCTCCTCTAGTTTGAAGCCATTTCCCCCCTTGTCCTTTCACTCCCTGCCACTGGGAAAAATCCCTGCTCACCCTTCTTGTAAGCACCCATTGTAGTACTGGAAGGACGCTATAATCTCTCCCCAAATATTGTCATGAAGAACAATAAATCAAAATGTTTCCACGTTAAAGTTGATGGGCAAAGGGAATACAGAAAATAAGTAAATGAAGGAATTTAAAAACAAAACAAATTAACTGAAAATACCCTCAAAAACTGAATTTGTAACTTAGGATGAGTAAAAAAAAATTCAAAAATAGGATTTTTGTACTATCAACACTCCTGCTACCCATTTAGATGACTGAACATCTAAAGTTTAGAAGGCTAATGGTTAGATACTGGTTAGGAGAGAAGAAAGGGAATGACAAAAGATTTCCCAAAATACTAGACAACTGTTATGGGCACCCAAAAACTAGGAATTTTATACATACATACATACATACATATATATATACATACACATATATATGAGTTTGAATATATTTCATAGTATGGTGCCTTTTCATTGACACCTATATAAATTATATGTACTTTAGAATAATTATTTTTAAAAAAACCCCCAAACCAAACATAATGTCCTGAGCCAATGCAAAAACTGGAAGAAATCAAGAGCACTGAGATTTCTATGGAAATAAAAGACAGAAATCTGATAGGGTGCTATTACTTGCAGGTCTGATCCAGAACCCATTAATTTGATAAGCTTTGATAAGAATCCAACTCCAAGAGCAGGGTGAGGAGCCCAAGAGCATTGGTCAGTGCTACTGTTATGCTGGCTTTTGCAATATCTCTCTTCATAGATGTTAGAGCCAAACCACATCAGTTCCCCTTAGCTGAGCTGGATTGACACTTTGGAAATCCTAGTGCACAGGAAATGTTTAAATCCTCACCATTTGAGGGGTAAAAGCAGCATAGAGCTCAGCCACTGGCTAAGTGTGGCTCAAGAAAGGTAGTAGAGCTGGCAGGAAAAGAAGGAACAATGGGTTTCAACAATCAAATGAAAAGATAAACGAAACAGAAAAAAAGGTATAGCAAGGAAGGGAGGATGTGAAAGACTATGGGAAACTGGGGAGGGTGGGAACTAAATTAATCAAAACCAAGAAAGAACTGGGGAAATGGAGACATGAGGAACACAGGAGAGCACTTGAACTCACAAAGTAAAAAGCAAGAGGTGTGTTGGAGGCAAGAGAAGGAAATAGTGAGGCAATGAGAGAGAGAAAGAAAAGGAAGGGGAAAAGGTGTGAAAAGCTGAAAATGGCAAGATGTAGGAGAGAAAATGGGAGAGAGGAAAAGGGAGGGAAAGAGAAGGAATTGTACAGGCAAAGGACCAGAAAGAGGAGAACAATCCTAGGGAGCCTGCTGTGGTGGGTCGCAGAGGAGTTCACAAGCCCATGCACTCCAACTATTTCTTTTTGATTCTGTGTCATTGTCAGGCTTCAGACTGCAGCTGCAAATTGTTTGTCTGGCAGTTCTGGTAGGTTTGATTCAATAACTCCTGTAAGAGGGCAGGCAGGATATCAATGCTGCTTTATTGCCTTTTTCTCTGCCTACAATAGCAATCCTCCAGTTATACAGAATTATAAAGTGCCATCACTGGGGGTTGTATCTCAGCATAGTCACATCTCATCTTCCTGGGCTATAATAAGCTGGGAAAGGTAGAAGTCTGAAACTACATGAGCTTTGTGAAAGGATTAACATTGAGGCCTAAAGATTGGCACTGAGCAAACAGAACCTCACCTCCCAAGGACCACAAGGGGAGCTGGGGACCTGCTGCTGGATCAGCTCCATCAACATTCACTTGGTAACCTGGGTCAAGCCTCACTCCAGCCACTACTGGACAAAGCATTGACACTCCAGAAAGTTGAAACCACAGCTGGGGAACAGATTAAATAACATGTGTGGTCCTGGCAGTTGGGTAACTTTTCAGGCCTCTCTCCACATCCTTCAGATACGAGCTCTTTGAAAACAACCACACTGCGACATTTGACATCAAATTGGACTTACTGATGTGGGCCATTTTTCCTCCTGGAAGTTCATTCCTTCAGGCTGTGGGGAGTGTAACTCTGCAGTCCGACACAGAGAAATTTCTCCAGCCTTGAGTTTTCATGACCTGTCAATAAAAAGAGGCTTTCAGTTACACAATGTCATCACATAGTACCTTTCACAAACACTAAATTCAGTTAAAGATGTCACAGCAAAACATGAAAACCTTCACACAGAAAACTACCTGTGAGGCATTTTATTTGTGTGTCTTATTAAAAAAAAAATATCAGAAAAATTCCTGACACATTGTTCTGGCTAAAGTCACACAAATCAGAACACAACTTCTCATTCAGGCTTGGTCATTACAAATATTGGGAGTACCTGAAAAGAAAGAGACCAATTTAATCAGCTTAAACTTTGCCTCTCATATACACACATACAGAAATCCCTGTTTCATGGTAAAAATAGTAGATGGGTGTCTTTAAAACTGGGTCTAGAAATCATTGTGATTTTACATTGCAGTTTATTCCATATATTTCCATTCTTTTGAGTCACACTATTCAGCCTCCTACTTATTCTTAATAGATTAATTTGCAGTTGCTCCCTCGACATTTCAGCCTTTCATGGTGGAGAGCAATTCCTCTCATTTCACTCATCAAGGCTCCATATAATAATGAAAGTTCCCATAGGTCACTTCTGCCATGCCTTATTTCCTTAACCCCTTTAGCCTTCCACCCTGATAAGCGTTCTTAAACCTACAGCTGTCCACGTTAAGGCAAAAATAAAATTTCTCCTGCAAGTGATTCTGTACCACATCAGTTTCATAGAAAATGTGACTATAACCATGTGATTTCAATTCTCCAACTCCTTCACACTGTCATAATGTCCTATTTGTTTTTTCCAAGCAGTTATACACACAAAACTGCTGAGATTCTTCTCTAATAACCCCAGGTCTCTTTTTTCCTTGGTACACTGGGTAATAAGAATTCTGCTGTGGTTCACTAGCTCTAAACCTACTGTTATAGCCACTAAAAGATCCAAATCATCCTCATCTGGGTGAGAATTGCTTCTTGCATGTTTGCTTAATCTTCGCATTAGGCAGAATAATCAATGACTGCTATTTCAGTTGTTATAATGTTACAGAATAGAGCTGATAGGCGAGGTTCTGAGCTGCCATACATTGGCATGTCCCTAACATCACTTCACTGGTCCAGCTTCACACACTAAATAGATGCTTCAAAAAAACCTGGAGGGCACACCACCAGTTTGAATTTTCCAGTTGCTCCTTATGACCACTGTCTGTTTTCCAAGTTGTGGCCTCGCTCTGTGATTTACATGGATGTAGGGGAAAGTCATGAAACATCCTTTGTAGGCAAACCAGCAGGCTCTGGGTGCAAGTGAGGAAGTAGCTGGAAGTGTCCAAAAGTAGCCCTGTCCTCCCAAGAAATCCACATTAAACCAACAAACCATGGTGTTTATTTAAAGAATGATTTTACACTGCATCATATTCCAAGTTGTCTCTTCTGCTGCGCAATCTGTCCTTTCCACAGGAGACAAAATATTTCTGACCAGCAACGTGGTGCGAAATAAAACAGCTGCCATTCCCACACACAGATTTGTGCATCTTTATGGGGAGGAGACAACAGTCAGCTCAAAGCAATTCAGTGCTGATTGGGTTGGGGATAATTTTCTGGCAACTAAGGATGGGATTGAGACCACAAGATCATTTCAAATAACTGCGGAGGAGTCACAGGATAGCAACACCTTCCAGTCTCTAGAGACCTGGAATTGATTCGAACTGGTCTGCCACTTAAGTGGAGAAAAGCTATTATCCCATCACTAATCTCTTGAGCCATTCAGTCCCACTTGAAGCAATTTTTTCTTCAATAAGCTATTTTACATATTTCACTTAGTCCCCGATCTATGGGAGAAGCTTATCACATGATTTGTTTAAAAAGATAAATACCTCTCCCCTTGGCATTTCTGTTTATTCTGGGGTTTGTTGCTAACATGACAGAACTATTAAACATGTTCCTCCTCTTCTGTCCTTATGGAGCCCTGCTTTTCTTCCTACCATTCCCAAAATAAGACAAATTCTTGTTAGTTTTTGAAGAAGACCCAGCCTAGAAGTATGTGTTCTGGTTTTTCTTCCACACAAATGTAAATTTACTGCCCTCAACCATCATAGCAGCCAGCAGTACAATGCTGATACCTACTCCATACTCAAGAAGGGTAAAATCCAGGATCTGCAGTGCAAAACCAGAGGATTGCTAAAGATGCATTTTGCAGAAGCAATCTTAATTTTTTTTGGTGCATTCATGGGCAAAATGCAGTGCCTACAAGTAAGCAAAGATGCTGTAATTATTAAGAATGTCTTAAAAATTATGCCTTTGGTGCCTGAAACGAGGGAGGCCATAGCTGCAGTTTTGCAGTAGGGCCACACTGGCCCAGCAGGGAAATTCTTTGTGATGAGAAATCAAACACACATTCACATCCAAAACTCTTCAGTTTCTCCCACTGTTTTCCCTCTATTTTGTGCACTCAGAGGAGCCTGTTTTGCCAACTCCACGCTTTCCCTTCGTTAAGCATTTCCTCTGTAGTTTCTCCCAGCACCAAATTTACTCAGCCCTCCTCCATCACTCCCAGAATTAGAACTGGTGCCTTTGAAAAACCTGGGCTTCCTTCATTTCCAGGCAGTTCCTTTCAGCTCCTGCTCACCCCACAGGTTACACTGCTGGAGCAGCACTGCTTTGATACTGCTCCTCTGGCAGCAATTAGAATCAAATCAGCACCAGGCTGTTTATAAAAAGGGATGTTGCTGTAATGACACTATCAATTCTTCCAAACATTGTAGCTATTTATCAAGTGATTAAAGTGGAGTAACTTACTCCAGGTTTACTAGCCTATTTTCCATTGGAACTTAAAAGGTTTTACTGCCTCAAGTATGCCACTTGGACTGCTAATAATTTCAATTTTATTACATTATCATATTTTTTAGATTTATTTCTAGGTTTTGCATAAGATTCAAATTGTTACCCAGTTTATAAAATAATGTGAATTTATCTTGGTCAAAAATCACATTAGGATAATTACCTTGCCCTTTTGGCAGATAATTTTGTTTGTAGGATATTGAGAATGCTTATTTTTTGTCTTCCTAGCCCCTCATTCTTGTAGAATAGGCTATTTTTTTCCTGAAATAGGCAACTCCATCTCCCTCTCACTGTCAGGAGCTGTCAGGTCTCCTCCCATTTTCCCCTCTCCATTAGGGAGAAACCAAACAAAAGGTGCCTGCTCCTGTCTCCCACCTCCCCAAAGCAGCAGGATGCAGACTCCACTGTATCTGCCAAATTCAAGACTATTTAGTCAGACACTGAATACTTGCTAAAACTCCCAAATGATCAGAAAGATGCTACTTGTCCAGTATCAGAAGAAAGTTGGAACAACTGAGGATGGATTAAGCAAATCACACCTGACCCTCTGGCCTGGGTCTCTGACCCTGGAATATCTGAAAAGCCACCCATGACTTCCATCGTCAGCACTTTGATTCATTGAAATTAGATTTTTTTCAATTTAGAGGACATTTTAATATTTAAAAAGCACAAATTCACAATTAGATGAAACATCTACAAATGTTGGGTTAGGTTCGGTATTTTGGTTTGGGGTTTTTTTTCTGGGGGGTGGGGTTAGGGATTTTTTGTGAAAAAATATTCAAAATACCACTTATTTAGGAGAAAAAAAAATAAACTTCAGGAAATACTAAATGTCAAATTTATTTAGAATGCATGGGGTTTCCTTTTTACCTATACAGCATTACTATAAAATAAGAATTTATACTGACATGTTTTAAGTTGATGTAATAATTAGTAAAATAAAATAGCTCCTTCTACTTTATTAGGGACATATGCTCCCTAGTACTGATGAAACAGAAAACAGCTCTTTTACAAAATCAAATAAGTGGCATTCTGATGTAGAAATAGGATAGCAATATCCTGAGTGTTGAATAAGTTAAAGGAGGGTTTTTCAATCTTCTAATATGCTTAACTATGATATTCTAATTCTAAATTTCAGTGATTCTAGTTCTATCAAGCACTCATGACAGAAGTACCAATAAACAGATACTGGGTAATAATTAAAAGGTTTTGAGGCATGATGTTGAAATATGAGCAAAATATATTATGAAGCCTAGGAGCTTCACAAAAGCAATTCCCTGCTTGTGTTTTTCCCTACTTCTTGTTTAAGAGCCCAGGAAGTTACAGGGCGTACCCCATCTTTTTTCTGCTTTAATGGAGGCAGAGAAAAAGGAGCAATCCAAAACTGGATAACACCTAATTCCCAAAACAGATTAAACAAATTTTGCTTAAAACATTTGGTCTGCAATTGGTATTTGGTCTAGTTTGGTATTAAAGTGAAGATCAGTTTACACACTTGTGTCATGTCTGATGACAGTACTAAGGAATGTGCACAGCCAGAAAATCATGCATTTCTGGGGAGAAAGGTCCATTTCTGGATCTACCTTTGTCCTTCACTGGTGCTCAGAAGCCAGGCAACACTGCATCCCATTGTGCCCCTGTCCATGGCCAGGAGCCAGCGTGGGGACAGCACAGGCACCAGGGAAGCAGCTCAGGCTCCCTGCCCTGGGCACTGCTTCAGTTCTGTGCATTTCAGTGGAGCCACAGGGAAATTGCACCAACAATTGGTACAAACCCCAATCCAGACTGGTTGGCAAAAAAAGTTTGAGTGCTTTGCATACTCTGTATTTCTGAACATTTTTCCTCTTGTAATGACACAGTGAAGAAGCTGATGATCATAAATATGGAGTGTATCACCCTGTCCTTATTGCTTTTGCAACATAATACATGCATCTCAAATAAATTAAACATGTGACATAAATTCAGTTCATGCTTTTTGGGGGTTATCAAAATCCTGAGAAACCAAAACTCTGAAAATCACTTGTCAAAACGTTCTGGGATGAAGTAGTTAAGCTGTCATCAACAGCTTAAACACTGTTTATTTGAATATGTAAAGCAACTTTTTGAAAAAAACAAAAGTACAGAGTCTGTTGATCAGAGGTCTTTCTCCACATGCCTTAATTCTGATCTCTTGGGGGAAAAAAAATAAAAAACTTCA